CCCCCCCTTTCCGGTTGTTACTCTTTGGGTACATAGTGTAACGTATTTGCTTGGCAAGTTGAGGCCAGGTACTTTTTTTGAGGCCCAGGACTTGGTGTAAGAATATTTTAGATCAAATTGAGTAAAATATTCTCAAAAAAAATACCTATGGCCTCAACTTGTCAAGCACCGGAACTCAAATCAAGTATCCAGATCCACTTTTATGGATGCATTGATCACCATTCTAAGGCTGTCGTCCGCAACAAAAGTCACATAGAAGCAGGACAAGAGAAATCGACAAATAAAATCGAGTGAACGAATTTTCGAATATTTTGCCCACACATTATTTGGACGAGTATGTACTACTCTTCCGCCCCGCGGAGCCTCGGAGCGAGGGTGGCGGATTGAAGGGGCTTGGTATGTCGGGGATGGATTGGCTCCAAGGATTGACTCTGGAGCCAGTAAACGTAGAGGGAACGACCCACTGCGCTCGCCGTGCTCCCCGAGGAGGGGCAGAGGCAGAGCCGGCTGTGACACCGCCCCACCCCGCCCCGCCCCGCCACACGGCCTCACCTTCAAATATCAGCGGGCTCAGACCGCGGGGCGGGGCCGGGGGGAGCACAAAAGGTGCGGAAGGGCATGGACTATACACGGGCAAAGATAATAATAATTTGCATCTCTCTTCACTTTGAACGCCTTTTTACTGTTTCATGCTTACTTTGTGCGTTGCCCTTGTTTGACGCAGAGTCGCCAGGATGACGCAGTCGATGGCGTCCCGCGAGAGCATCCCGATGAAGCCGCTCGAGAGGACGGCGATCCGCCGCGACCCCAAGAGGCCGTCATCCAAGAGGAGCACCAACCTGCCGGTCATCCCGACCATTTCAGGTATAAACCCGTCTAGGGTCGAAAGCCCTGGAAAGTTTCCGGAAAATTTCATTTCCGGCAAAGCGGAAAATTTCCGGGAAAGCGGAAAATTTCCGGGAAAACTGAAAATTTCCGGGGAAACTGAAAATTCTTGGAAAGACGGAAAATTCTTGGAAAAACAAAAAATTTCCTAGACTTTGGAATTTTTTCGATATTCACGGAAATTTTCGGGAATTTTTCGGAAACCGGGCGGCCAGAGTCAGCTTAATCCGACCCGACAATATCGGGAAATATGAAATCCGGCGCCACCAGGGTGTAAGCTGAAGCCAAGACTCTGGCCGCCGGATTAGTGGCCACATTTTTGTGGCAACAAACAGAGACGTGACTGTACCGCATGACCGCATGCAAGCGGGCGGCCAGGCGGCGGCCGAGTAGGCAACCCGCACACACGCGTGCACCGCGGTACAGTCCACCCGCGCGAGAGCGGGCGAGCAGTTGTGCAAAGCAAACTACTTTGAGTTGGAGCCAGCCTGCAAATCTCCCGTCTCGCTCGCAGGCGGGCAGGAGGCGGCGGCGGCAGCTGCGGGAGCGGCGCCCCGGGCCCCCTCCAGGACGGCGTCCAGGACCGTGTCCCCGCTGGTGAGCTGCGTGCCCATCCCGTGGTGCGTCGGCAGCGTGCGCTGCGCCCAGGACGGGCCCCAGCGGGGCGACCTCCAAGACTTCCAGGACCTACGCGACCACCTCCAGGGCGGCGGCAGGGGGGCCGAACCACCCGAGGCCACCACGTGGTGGTGGCTGCCGAACCTCAAGGAGCTACGCGACCGGAGTGCAGGTGAGGAAGCCGAGGGTGGTGGCCACACGGAGCTACCCCTTCGGGGGTGAGGGGGTGTCGCCGCCAGAGTCTCTGCTGTAGCGGGGTAGCTGCGCCACCCCTCCGTGGGTGCCGAACCAGCCACCCTACGCACGTGCCTGCATCCTCGCGCCAGCGCGGCGGCCGCGGGCGGGCGGGGCGGGTGAGGGGTGTGCAAGGGGTGCTGCATGCAGGGCGCACCCCCGGCGGGCACCCCCGCGCATGCGCGCACGAGCGCCGCCGCTGCTGCCGTGCCGAGGGCGGCCGAGGGGTGGCGGGCGCGGGGCGAGGGGGGGGGGAGGCAGGAGGGGAGGCCACGCCATCCCCCACACGTCCTGGCTCCAAGGCTGCCCCAGCCCTCACCACCTCCTCCACCGGGTCCGACTTCGATCGCATCCAAACAAACCAGCAGCTACCAGCAGCAGTAGCTTCGGGTACCCGTCGGCCCGTTCGCACCTGGGCCCCACGCAAGCCCCCCATGTTCAACAGCCCAGCTGGGGGCTGCACAAGTTCCGAGGCGGACCGTTTTGAGGCGACGACTTCGGTGCGGCTGGTGGTGCGGCCGGGCGCGAGGAGGCAGCGTCGGCGTTGGGCACCACGGTCTTGACCACGGTCGGAAGGGAGCCCCTCGTCAAAGTCTCGTACGTGAGCTGCGGGCGCCAGGTGGAGACCGTCTCGCGCAGGAGGGGCGTCATGAGCGACCAGGATGTGGACGATGTGGCTTTCCTGACAGGTAGGCAACCCCCCGCGGCCCGGTATCGCGTCCTCCTCGGGAGGGGTAGTTCGTGTGTCCCGTGCACCCCGGCGGCGTTCGTCTTACCTACGTTCCCGAAGGGCTCCCCTAGAGAGTACCGTCGTAGAGACCCTCGCAGCGGACCCCGCCGGAGCCCCGGTTACAGGAGCCAGTGTTTATTTTGATGCTCTGACCCACTGATCGCACAGAAAAAGCAAGGCCGCTTTTGCTGACAACCTTTTCGGCCAGCACTAAAATTAGATTTAACCGAATTTTGAAGAAATAATGTTGTGATTGAGTCTCTTAAATACCGCCCCGATTAAGTATTTTGGTACGTGGGCGAGATATCCTTCACCTTTTCTCTGGTTTTCATGTATCTTTCCATTAAATCTCCGTTTTTAAAGGAGCTAACCTAACTTTTCAGTGCAGAAGAGATCTGCACTTGCTGCACTGCAATAACTTCGGTGGCACAGTGGCAGCGCGTAGCGTGGAACAATAACATGCAAGATTTCCCGTATGCTTTAGCTAACACAAATAATCGTATCGTTTTTAGTGTGAAGAATCACTGTCGTAAGGCATAAAGCACATCGTAAATAACGCCAAATTAAGGACAGTAGAGATAGGTACTTTGAGGCTGGTGGCTTCTGCTTGTTGTGGTTTCGCGCTACGCGCTGCCACCGACCACAAATGGGGTGAGGTGTATCACCTTCTCAGTTTTGTCTTATCTGGTTCTCGTGCCATTGCCTGTGCCATTCCGAAAAATGACTCTTTAAATACTTGTTTTTGTTACTTCAGCTTAAATTTTCTATATCATTCATTTTATTACAAGAAGTTTTACAATTTTCATGTATGTTTTGTGGACTAATTTGCCGACCAGGCTCAGATAATATTGTAGATGAGCATCAGAACTCTTGTCAGTTGCTATTTGTATGAATGGGTTTCAGTCAGTTATTATTTGTAGATGTTGTTGGAAAAATCAGTGAGGAAAAATTAGTTTGCTTGTTTCGAAGTATTCCGTTAGCTTCCATGGTGTAGTTGATTCACTGTAGATGTGTCTGTTAAACGCATGTTGTAATTGTAGTTGTATTTTTGTTTGTTTGTTTCTGGTTGATACAGCCTGGTTGTATGGGCATCGGCTTGGACTTGAGATGTAAATAGGCACAAAATGATGGTTACCGGATAAGCATTTGGAAGAGCTATTGAAATCTTTCAGTAGCATTATCTGCCACTCCTGTTCTGTAGGGCGGATTTCCACAGAAGCTATGGATTCCGGTAATATCTGTTTGTGTATTTTAGTCATTTTTAAGTATCTACAATTTGTTTTTTCTGATTTTATGTCTGTTGGCTTATGCATGTAATGTTGTTTTTAGTGAAATAGTACTTTGTATGATTATAAGTTAGAAATAATTTTTTTTCCTGAATTTCACCTAGGTATTATATTCTTAATAATATTTAAGTACTGTGGTTGAATAGAAATTGACATTCTTACTCTATGCTTGCAGGTGCAACATGCTGTGCGGGAGAAAGTCAGTCCATCCACAAGCGCAGCCTTTACGAACACAATGGTGTAGCAGTATGCTCTCAGAAGAGAGCCCTTATCATAGCATGTGGGGTGTTTGCTGTATTATTCATAGTCTCTGTTGTACTTGCAACAGCTGGACCTCAGACAGGTAATATTACATCTTCTTTGTTTAAACCAATGCCTCCTTATATCATGTAATACTAATATACTTTATTTTAGATTGCCCATGCCTCGGAGTGAAACCAGCTGACATTGATGAAGAAGATATGCCATTACCTCCAAGTCCAAAAATCCCGATAGCAACGAACAATGAGCTATTCCCTTGGAACAATCCTCGGCTACCAACATTTATTCGTCCTATGCGCTACAAGATCAACATTCATCCAAATCTGACCACTCTAGATGTGAAAGGTTGGCTTGTTGGCTAAACATTTCTTTACGTTATTCTGTGAGGAAGTTTAATGTTTTAATAGAACTAATGTGCTCTTTTATTACTTATTTCAGGGCAAGTGACCATCGACTTTCAAGTAGAAAAAGAAACAAACTTCATTGTGTTTCACAGCAAAAATTTGACATTAACAGAGAAGGTGTGGCATATTTTCTAGACTCTGACTTTTAAAATCATGCTTGTTTCTTACAAAATTTTCCGTTTTAGCATTTGATCAGCAATGCCCTACCTACTTCTCTTGACCGAAAGGGACACAGATTGCCAATTACAAGATTTCTTGAGTATCCATCTGGGCAGCAAGTTTATATGGAACTTAAAGAGAAATTGAGAAAGAAAGTCAACTACACTCTTGTTGTACGTTTTAATTCCCGCCTTGGTCGTGATCTTGAAGGGTTTTACCTCAGCAGTTATGTCAACAAGCAAGGAGAAACTAAGTAAGTTTTATTCATTTGTTTGCTTTAACAATGTCTTAATTAAAATCCCTAATAAAATATAATTCTACCTTTCAGATTCTTAGCTACAACACATTTTGAACCAACTTATGCTCGATCTGCATTTCCGTGCTTTGATGAACCACACTTAAAGGCACGTTTTCGTATGTCTATATTCCGTGATAGATTCCATATTGCATTGTTCAACACACCTATTGCTAATACTGAGGATGCAGGATTTTACATGGGTACAGGGCTGGTGAGTATCTTCCCTGCGTAAGCTATTGCTCTTCATTCTAACATTCATGCATGTGATTAATCTTAATCTTCTCAATTTCTTACCAGCTCAGAGATGACTTTGAGGAATCTGTAGAAATGAGCACATACCTAGTGGCATTTGTTATTTGTGATTATAAAAGTATTATGCAACATACATCAAAGAATATCACTGTGTCTGTCTATGCCCCAACTGGTCTGCTACCTCAAGCTAACTTTGCTCTGTCTATTGCTACACAAATGATGGATCATTATGAAGATTACTTTGGTGTTCCTTATCCTCTTCCAAAACAAGGTAATACATAACATAATACTGTAAACTCTTTACAACTTGCATAGCTTTTTATAAACATAGAGTTTATGCAATATTCCTGTATTACTTGTTATGCTATATTTTGATGCTATTTCTGCAGACTTGATTGCAATTCCGGATTTTGCTGCTGGAGCCATGGAAAACTGGGGCCTAATAACCTATCGTGAGACTTCTATTTTGTATGATCCTGATGAAACCTCGTCAGCTGCCAAGCAATGGGTAGCTATTGTTGTTGCCCATGAGCTTGCCCATCAGGTACAATAATTAACTAATATTGGAAAAAACAAATTTGAATTTACTTTTAAACATTTATCCACCGTCACATTAAATTTCTTTAAATGTTGCAGTGGTTTGGTAATCTAGTGACAATGAAGTGGTGGAACGACCTGTGGCTTAATGAAGGATTCGCCAGCTTTTTGGAATATCTCGGTGTGGATCATGTGATGCCTGACTGGCGAATGATGGAGCAGTTTATTCTTGACAAAACCCAACCAGCACTTTCTCTAGACGCTCTGGCAACATCACATCCAATATCTGTTCAAGTTGGTGATCCTACTGAGATTGAGTCAATCTTTGATACAATATCTTACAATAAGGTAAGCTTACACTTAAGCAAGATGACCAAACTAGTTTTGAAGTGCTCATAAAAGCTTGGTTGTGACTGCATTGAGAACATGTTGCAGTTGTTGCATTAATTTACTCTCTCTGTGCCTCTGTTTCACTATCTCGCTAATTACTTAACTGACCTTTCATAAAATTTAGGGAGCATCAATCTTGTACATGTTGGAGAAATTTCTACATGAAGAAATAATGCGCAGTGGACTCAACGACTACCTCAATATGCATATGTATAGCAACGCTGAAACAAAAGACCTTTGGGATGTTTTCAGTAAACATGCTAATCAATCCTTGGAAGTCAAAGTTAGTCTCATATTGTTGTTATATTGTACAACCTTTTCCTAGTCTTAAAATTCTCTTACTACCATATAGATTTATTGACTTTCTTGTACATTTAATTGCTTGGTTTTCTTAAATTCCTAATCTGTTCTCAGGTTATTATGGATTCATGGACAAATCAAATGGGTTTTCCCTTAATAAACCTGACTAGAGAAGGAGACAAAATCATTGCTACACAAGAACGATTTTTACTAACTGATATCATGAACCATGACTTGAATATAACAAACAGTACCTCGAAAGAGACATCTTCAGCCAAGTGGTATGTTCCACTGAGCTATTATACTGACAAGGAAAAGGAGGCCCAATATGTTTGGATGAATCAAACTAATGGTAAGTCCTTGAAAAAGAAGACATCAACTTGGTATTGAGGAATTTTAAGGAATTGAAATTAAATGATATTTTATTTCCAGTTGAATTTAATATACCAGAAAATATTGTGTGGTTGAAAGCAAACGTCAATCAGTCTGGTTTTTATCGGGTAACATACTCCGAAGATATGTGGATGTCCATAATTGCTGCTCTGCATAAAAACCACTCTATCTTTAGTGCTGCAGATCGAGCATCTCTTATTGATGATGTTTTTACCCTTTGCAGGTATGTACCAATTTGGGTATGTTGCCAAATATTGCACAGTTTCTATGATGTATTACTATTAACTCATTGTTTTTCTTAACATTTTTGTTGCTATTAGAGCTGGAATACTTAATGCTACTGTGCCCTTGGAGCTGTCATTGTATTTATTGAAAGAACGGGATTATGTCCCATGGGCTACCGCTTTAGAACATTTCCAGTCATGGGCGAGGAGATTAGCAGAATCTTCTTCCTATAGAATGTTCCTAGAATACACTAAGAGGCTCATTACGCCTGTTTCAGAAAGTATTGGATGGGAAGATACTGGTCCTCATCTCAAAAAGTAAGAACTCTCACCCAACATTTTGAGTGAAGTGTATTTAGTTCTTACTTATATTTTACTATGCTGTGTGTCTCTTGCAGACTTATGCGTTCAGATATTCTGGCATCTGCTATTTTGGCGAATGTGGATTCTGCTGTCAATGAAGCCAAACCCAAATTCCGGGCTTGGATGGAGAAGAGTACTCGCATTCCTCCAAACCTCCGTGAAGTTGTTTATGCTGCCGGTAATTATGTTTCCTAACAAATCAATTTGACAATAATTTTTAATTTATCAAATTTCCATCTGTAGAGTCAAATTTACTTCAAAAAGATGTATCAAATAAATACTAATTACCATTTCGTTGAATAATAAGTGGGTTGTGGTCTCAAATTATTGTACTTGTTATTGACAGGTATCAAGTATGGTGGTGTTAAAGAATGGGAATTTTGCTGGGACAAGTACAATAAATCTAGAGTGCCAAGTGAGAAGAAATTATTGTTGAAAGTATTAGGAGTTTCCTCAGACCCTTGGCTACTTCAGAGGTAAGTTTTTTTTCAAGTGTGGTTTGACAATTTATTTTGTCTCTTTTATGTTCCTTACAGCTATTTCTGTTTTCTTTAGGTACCTACAGAACACATTAAATAGAGATTTAATCAAACCTCAAGACATTAAAATTGTGCTGGCTGTTGTTGCTGCTAACCCTGAAGGAAGACTTTTATCCTGGCGTCATTTGAGAGCTCATTGGAATCATTTCCAGGACACATTTGGAAACAATACTTTCACCATGGGTGGGCTAGTGACAGCAGTGACTTCCCATTTTGCTGCAGAATATGACCACAAGGAGGTATGGCCTTTAGTTCTTTTTGGTCTCAATTCTATATGTTATCTTTTAATCCTCAAATATCTGTATGTAATTGCGACTTCAGATGGGTAAAGGAGTGAGTCTCATGGGAGATTAATTGTTGCAGGTATCACATTTCTTCCGACGAATGGATATGGGTTCTGGTCAGAGGGCTCTAGAGCAGAGCCTCGAGACAATCATGCTGAATATTCATTGGGTGAAACACAATGACGAACCAATATTCAGTTGGCTGAAAAACTACCTTAGATAATATGAAGCTTTACCCACGCCCCCTCCAACTCCATCTCACCACTCAGGTTTGGTCTAATATCCAATATGATTTTATTTTTGATTGAACACCAGAAAGATAGACCCTTTCTTCTGTACTCTTTTCAGGAACAAACAACTCGACAAATGCTCTTCCAACAGACTCTTCCTCTGAATCTGTCTCACTCAAGACTGACTTGAGCAACATCTCAAGCTCTTCCAGGGACTGCATTCAATCTACATCGACATTTTGTAATCAGGGCCAGCCTTCCAGAAGTACTATGAAAGTGGCTTCAGGCACATCTGCTAATCCTTTAAATATTCAAACTGTGCATAAAACTACACCAGCATATTTGAAGGAACTTACTGAATCTACTCTTTCATATTCAACTGTAAGTACACCTCTAGAGGTGGATCATCCATTCAAGGAGGCCTATTCAACACTTCATACTCCTGCCAAAACTATCTCCAAAAAGCCTCTCCCTACCTCTGAAATAGTTTACATTAAACCTTTCTTAAAACCTCAAGGCAATGTAAATAAAATTCAATTAGACAAAATGGTCCCTGTGGCTCCAACTAAAGCAGAACCGGGTATTGTCAGAACAACACCTGCTTCCCGTATTTTTTACATCACACTGTTACCATATCCCATCAAACAGTAAACTTAAGCAGCGTAGTTGGAAAGTACATCACAGATACATTTGAGGATGTTTCAGAAATAATTTTCTTGCATTAGTCTGTGAAGTCCTACATATTTATTGGTATGTGTGAATGTGTCTCTTATTGTAATTTCATGTGTTTTTGTGCTAATCTCCTAAATTAGGATTGAAACTAATACTCATGGGGCAGTGGGTAACCAAATAACAATGGGTGAACTTTAAGTCATAACAGTAGCGGTATTTCCATTGTTTTAGTCCTTCCAATTTTTTCATCATCATTATTATTAACTCTGCAAAATAAAAATAGCTCTTATTTTCTTGAAGTACAGTACATATTTCTCTCAGTGTACCTAATAGAGTAGAAAAGAGACGAAGATCTATTTTTGATCTACACAGTAGAAAAATCAAAGAGTATTAGGAACTTTTCACATTTATCACTTCTAACTAGGTTACATAAGAAATAAAGTTCAACAATTAATATCTATGCAATAGAAAACTGGATAAGTTTTATCACTTTAGCACTAGTTACTTGATTCATTCTGTTGTTTATACTTTCATTAAATTATGGATGTCAATGTATTTTCCTCCAAAGCTTAGTTGTATGTCATGGAGATTAACGCATAAAAATAGATGGAATTTTTCCATCCAATATGTAAATTATGTTTATCTTTTCCACTTCCACTCCTTTGAGTCGGGCCATTATTCAGTAATATTGGCATGTAAATCTGATCTGCATTTAAGTTCTTTTCTAGTTGAATCTCTTAATGTACTTAAGTCCTCCTTTACTGTCAGTAATGAAAATGAGCCAAATTTTATTGTGTTCAACTATAAAGATAGATGGTGGTCCTGTTTTCAACTCATAAAATACCATTATGTTTCTTGGCCTAATAGCACAATGTTCAGTATTTACTTTGGATTTTGTGAGCATAGTCGTATTGCTACATGTTCAGAGTCTTTCTTGATTCTTGCGAGACACATACACAGGGTTTTTGCGTAATGAACTGTGATGTTTCTCATACGTGTATAAGGTGACCACCACACTTACCAGCTAATTTGCAAGGGCTTATTTGATTTTTTTTTAAATGTGAAAGGCAGAATATGGTTGAATGGTTTATGTACAGAGCAAGGAAAAGAGTGATCATTAGCAATCAGGAGCATCTTAGCATTTGGCATATTTGTGTTCTCACTTGTAAAATATAGTTTAAACTGAAGCATTACAACCTGAAATGCTTACTTTTGGGTTCAGGTTTGTGTGTAAGTATTGCTAAGAATTTAAAATACTATGCATAACATAACAGATTAAATTTGTGGGCTGATCTGGGACTGATGAGACCAATTCATTGTTGTGATTCTTATTTCGGAAAGTGATAATGTTGGCTTAATCTAAGAAAAGATCTAAATTTTGAAAAAAATCTAAGAAAAGATCTAAATTTTGAAAAAAATTGAAAATTAATTCACAGTTTTAACAGGCTTTACATTTAGTGCTTTTTTCTTTGTCTCTAAGGAAGTGGAGGGTTCTCAAGAAAGATCATACGTACTGACGACAATTTGCTGTGAGAACTCTAGACTATTGCTATTATTACCCTTAGCAGATGTTAATTTAAGGCACTCAATTCTCATTGTGCCCATCGAAAGACTTAGTACTCTAGTCATTACATCAAGTGCTGATTCTATCCTTACCAACTGTCTGATAGCACAAACAGCATAGATATTTTGTCATGTCTTACCTTATATATTATTAGTCACCTTCATAGTATATAAAAGATTTTTTCTACTTATTCTCATATTCATCTCTTATTTTATTGAATGTTTGTGAGTCTTTTTTAATTTATCATGTTATATGTACCTGTACGCATTGTTTTATTTATGTACAACAAAGTGGTGTGGTTGTGTATATTCCTGCCGAAAATTTAGCTGTCTGGATTCATACTAAATAACACACATGTTCTTTTGGTTTTTCACCATCATTTTTACTTTTTAAAATTTATGTGCACTTGTTAAGTTGTGAACTTTTAAACCATGTATACCAATTTTTTCCCTTAAAGTCAACTCTGACTTTGACTTTACTTGTTCCTTCCAATCCAACATACTTTTACACATGGTCCTCTGGGGTGGCAGGTATTTTTTTAAATTTGCCTACTGTGCAAAGGATCAACATATCAAAGCTTTAAGGGAATCAGGAATATTTACTATTATTTAAAGACTTATTTTATTTTAGTGTTTAATCTTTTCAAGTTGTTTTATTGAGCAGTGTAAATGATATTGTTAATCTTACCATGTTTGCATGTCATCCATTCTTTGTAATTGTGATTGTATTTTTAACTCTACCTATGTTGAATTGATCCTGGATTAGATGTGGTAAGTTATTTGATTTCCATACTCTGAACACCATACCACAATGATAAGTTTAGTGAAACTTTGGAGTTCATAATACATCAAAATTACAGATGAATTCCAGGATCAATTCTGCAGTAGTACCAAATATGGAGCCTATTTATTTGGTACATCATTCTTTTGCTGTAATGCAGTACCCTGGCTGTACTATGTCTAGGACTGTTTTTCCCCCTTTTGTTTGATTGTTTGCCCTTATAAATGCTTGGCAAAAAATATCATGTCTTAAGAGATTTGTACCTTGTGAAGAAAGGAAAGTTATCACTTTTTTACATCTGATTATTCTCCTTTTAAATTTGAAGTTCTCATCTCTTTGTGTTTTGGTAGGATAAGGTTTTGCTAAGTATTGAAATTCTAGTCAAACATTTGCTGTATTTCTTGTTTATCAAAGGAATAAATTGAATTTGTTTCATAGTGCAGTTCGGATGAAGCAATAATTGCCCTTGGATACCATGCTAATTCTAATAATACCTTAATCATAGGAGAGGGGGGGGGGGGCAGACACCATCAGGAGGGCAAACGAAGTGCCTAACTGCAGTTCCGGGCCTGGAAAAGGGTAAATGAAATAACTTACGCTATTTCACTAACATAAGTAAGTAATCTTATTTCTGAACAAGTCTTGGTTCGCACCACGCCGTGGATCGGCTGTAGTGTGCCACGGCTCTCGGATCTGCGATGGGTGGGTCACTTTCCTAAGTGCCTGGCGCGGTATTGGGGGGTGGGGGGAAATTGCCAAGTTCAGCGGTCTCATAGCGCCTTATAGGTAGGCAACATCTTGCTTGTAGAGCTTGGATGTATTGCGGGATGGCCTACCCGGAGTCTCGCAGGCGCCGAGCCTCCCTAATTTCTCGACAAAAAGACAAAAGTCCGCTCGGCACCGCAAATGCTCACGCCCATCTCCTAATCTCCCCCCCCCCAGTAAAATGGGGGAATTTACCCCTCATACAGAACAACTTGTAAGCCCAGGGCATCTGTCAGTAACGGGGGCCGGTCGATTGCGGGCGAGAGCGGGGTCCGCAGGACGCAGCAATCGACTGCCACTAAATGAAATAACATAATGTAATCAACTACTTTACTCATTTTATTTACTAAAATAGATAAATTAGGTTCGGACAAACGAGCTTCGGACAAACGGAGCCGTCTCATAGGAAGTATCCACCCAAAGAGATGCCCTTTTGAATTTTGTTTTATTTTCTTCTCTTTTTTCAGCTTTATTTGCATTCACTACATTGAGGTCTAAGAAAAACTATTGTGTTGTTCCGAGTTGAGCAGGTGGTCTGCCTCTTGTTTCCACAGCTCTATTGAACTACCAGCTGGTAGTCCGGGTAACCCTTCAAGGAGGAGGACCTCCCATATTGACCCAAATTTAGCAACTTTTTATATTATTACTTTTTTTTTTTTGGCAGTTGTTCTTGGTTGAGGTGTTATCTCAGAGAGGTGCTGTGTATTTTCCTCTAGTATTTGGACATTACTAAAGGAACACGCCTAGTAACGAAAAGATTGTGAAGTTTGAAACAATTTATTCAGGTCAAAATTTAATTCTAAGAGGAAAATTTGTAAAGAATAAAGTTCATACAGACCCTATCTCAAGATACAGGTGATAATTACACTAATCAACTTAGCATGTAAATCAACACCACCTCAGCTACAAAATGGGACTTTGGATCTCTATTTAAACAATACCAAGTGTCAAAAAAGACTAAAATAAAAACCCCTGTTTTGCTTACACACTTCTCACACAGTAAAACTACCACCACATAGTCCAAGAAAAGTCAATCTAGTGAAATTTATGTTTCAATCATCAACAATTTTTGTAACAGTTCTAAAATTGAATTCTACTTGAAAAAATTCTTTATTGCATAGTTTTTAACAGAACAACATTCTTCACTAGTATTTATTTGCAGTCACAAAAGTGATGGTAAGGGAAAAAAAAAAGAAAAAAACAATAAAAAGTGAAGATAAATAGCCTGATATTCACATGTACAGGAAGAACAAAGCCACTGCCTCAAATAATCTTTGACAGTATCAGTTGATCGATCACAGTTGCAAAAACACTAGAACCTCAAACACCTTTACCGACTCCACAAAAACTCTTCTTTTTCAGCTGCCTCCTCACAATAGTACTCTTCTAAACCATATAATATTTAACATCTCTCACATAAAAGGTTGACATTATAAGGTGAAGAAGTAGCACGCATTAACACTTTTCTGTATTTACATGTATGCCTCAAAATGGCATGAGTGGCGTAACTACAGTATGTACTTATTGACTACTAACTAAATGTAACCTGACTGTATGGAAATAACTCAAAAAAATTATTCTTTGAATTTATATGGTATGACTGTAATGACTCCTTGACACATGTTTTGTTTTATCAAGTTGATGTACACACAGTTCACAAGGGCACTAGGGCACAAGAGGGCGACCTACATTCCCATGGCCACTTTGCCATAAATACCCTGTATGTAAATGCGAATGTTCGAACCCTTCAGTGACTACTGTCTGTAAAGGCTTATGCTGGAAGACAATAGACACGCAATACAAAATATAGATTTAATAACAGCTTCTAAGCCTCTCACCTTTCTGGAATAGATCACATTTTTATTCACACCCTTTAACTAGTGGTGTGCTCCTAATGGAAAAAAATGAAGTAAAGATTTAACTTTACAACTTTGAATGAACAGATGCACTGCGAGTTTGTTAACTGATCAATCTTGACAGGATGCAAGAATTGGAGTAGCTTTGGACATGGCCAAATCTGAAGCTCTCTTAGCAGCGTCTTTTAGTTTCTCTTTTGCCTCCTGAACAGATGATTTCTCTTCATGTATGATGGATCCATCATTATTGGATTGGCCATTGAGAGGGTATAACTTGCTTAAAACATGGTTGAATCCCAAAACCATCTGAGAACAGTTTTTCCTAAATCTCTCCACTCCAAATGCTTGGATAGCATGCTTAAAACCAAAGACTTGAGAGTCTACCCAGCCAGATCTTACAGCCACGGTATGATTGGGGTTGTCATCACTAACTCGGTAGACAACTTTTTCAATCACAGACTGGAAAAGAAGAAAGGTTAGCGAGGTTTTCAATAATAGACGTTAGAACTTGTTAATAATTTTAAACTTAGACTTACCATAACTTTTGTGTAACCAACATTACGGGTATATGTTGTGAGGGTTTGATTGTTCAGGTCAACCACAGATTCTTCGATGATTCCAACCTTGGCATTGCTGATAAAGCGCTCACCCCATTTGGGCACTCTGTTTGTCTTCGTTAGAAGTCTTTTAGTGAAAAGTTTATTTCCTCGAACTTCTCTAAATATTGTGTCTTCACTCAACACATGAGCACTAAAAAGAGATATGAGAGGTATTGGTTCATAAAAGTGACCTTTGCACATGAAATATTCAAGATTATATTGGACCGGGAAAATATACTTAAAACGTATAAAGCATTGTAATGTGCTCGAAAAAAAGTCTTCTCATTTGTATGTGTCCATCATGCAAACAGCGAAACGATGCAACTTTTCCTCAGATAATTCACTTACCTATGAGGGTTAGGGTAGCGTTTCCAAAAAGCCTGAACGACCTGCTGCCAATTGTACTGGAAAACAGTGCTGCTCTCGTAAAATTTTCCCATTTTAAGAAAGAAAATTTGTCGGTGACGTTTCTGTTGAAAAGAATCGATGCTATTTAGTCATCAGCTAAGCGCGATCTCCATTCCCTTTCTCACGTCTATCCGTGCCGTCTGCTCCTGCAGCACTCGCTTCCCGAAGTAATGGCGAGGCGATTGCGATGGAATCTGACACCTGCGTTGCTACTCTGACAAACTTAACTGGGAGAAAGTCTCCTAGCAAATAAAGTTGATAAGTTTTCGTTTTTTACGGAACACACTCAGAATACAACTAGAACGACGAATTAAGTCGTGCTACTCCAACTTTTCATCGCCCGATAGTGTGTGACGCTCTAGCAGAAGGCATAACCTAGCAAAACAAAGCAGAAAGCAGTCTTTGGTGGAGCACCGAATAACGTGTCGCAAGTCACGTTCACGTTTCGGAGTTGAGTTGAACTTGAATTAGTGCGGAGAGATGGATAAAAAGGAACCCAAGTTACACTTGGAGTTTATTTGAATGACAACAAATCCTCTACATTATTAAAGAATTTTCATCATATCACTAGAGAAATAAAATGACAACAGAAAGTCATTGCTACAGCTACAGACTTAAATGTATGCGTATAATTAAGATGACAGGTTCAAAAACATGGTTGTCAGGGTGTTAGGCACTTTGTACATAAATACAGAGACCAAATGCACAGAAAGGATTTGATTGATCAAATAAACAATTGTCTTTAAAAAAGGTGATACATTGTGAAGATTTCTTATAAATATGTAAATATAAGACTGAACCTCTACAAGAGTTACGATGACATCTAAAACACATTATATAATAAATTAATGATAGAAATTAACAGGTGTCAGTGGGTTTTTAGTTTAAAACACGTTTCACAATGCTAGGAGCCTGAGTCTTGATTAAATTATCACTGTACTCCCATAGTTGTTTGGCAATATCAGGGTCAAAAGGAGTCTGAGATGTAAATGGTCGGCAGTTGCGATAAAACCCAAATGTGCCATAGTTTTTAGGAAGGTTTTCCTCAAGAGCACAATGTACAATACCCTGGGCCCCCTAAAAATAAAGTAAATGGACAAAAAGTTAAATAAAGTAGAAATGTTAAGTAAATTTCATATACTAGGCTGAATTGAAAATTGTAAAACAAAACATACCTTGTTTGAAGATCTCATGAACAGGAATGCGATTGGAACAATAGTGATATACTTGTACCATGGAAAGTTATAATGTCGCATAAGCCCAGAGTAACACCATCCAGGACACAATGTAAAAACATCAACTCCTGAATCGCCAACCCTCTGACCCAACTCCATTGCATGATAAACATTGCATAGCTTAGAGTTGCAGTATGCTGGAGGTAAATTACCACTCTTTTGAGATGGAAGAGGGCCTTTGCTTAAGTGATCGAAGTCAATGATGCCATGGCGATGTAGAAGAGAGGACACATTTATCACCCTGAAGGAGGAATGAGTTTTCAATCGATTTATCTTGATCATGTCATAATTTAATTGAGTTAGGAACAAAGAAAATCATACCTGCTAGGTGCAGACTCTTTCAGTCTCTCTAACAGAAGATTGGTCAAGAAAAAATGTCCAAGATGATTAACTCCAAAGTGCATTTCAATCCCGTCTTCCGTCATGGGTTCCTTCTCGTCTGGGATTGAAAGACCAGCGTTGTTTATCAGTACATGTATCTGAGGGAAATCAGCAAGTAGTTCCTGAGCAAAGGTGTACACGGATTCCAGGGAAGCGAGATCAAGCTGCATGGGAATCTGAAACAAAAGGACACAGCAAGAAGGATTAGGGCAGGCTGATTGTAACCCTTCCAAACAAAGGACTTGATGCAGGCACTCTGTGCAGACTTTACCAGCTCCCCGTTGGGGGTCGTCTTCCGGATGTCCTCGACGGCCAGGTAGGCGGCCGCCATGTCCCTGCAGGCCATGACGACCCGGGCCTTCCGCTGCGCCAGCATGCGGGCCGTCTCCTTGCCCAGGCCGCTGTTGGCCCCGGTCACGACGAACACCTTGCCCTCCTGGGCCATGGCGTTGGTGCAGCGGCCCCACGACCAGGACGTCAGGGCGCGGATGAAGCACAGCGTCGCCACCAGGGGCACGACCACGGTCAGTACGGCGGGCATGATGAGCTCCACGTCGTGCAGCAAGGACGTCGCCGTCGCCGCCCCTGGCCACCACTGCATGACGCTTCACTATCCCCGACGGGCGAGACGCCCCAACAACGCCTGGCGCCCCCTGCCTGCAGCTGCAAGCGCAGGCCGATGACCCTAACACGGCTACGACAGACCCGCCGACACCTCGCCCGGAAAAGCGAACGGCGCTGCGACTGGAGACTCCAGGGCGATCCTTGAACGAGCTTCGGGTGTGTTTGTTGGGCTCCAGCAGACGCCAAGCAGACGACTTTCCGACGCGAGCACAAAGAACATAAACAAAGGCCCGGGCCGGGTGGTCAACAGCGATCGATACCTCGAGCGTCCAGAGCCGCCAACTGCGAGGCCTGAAACGAATCTCTTGCGCGACGCCAGACGGGGTTCCAGTCGATAGCAAACTAGTTCCCGTTCAACGGTGTTCAAAGGAAGGTTTAGGGTTTTGACTAAATTTCGAACTCTCTGCCCGGATTCGTGTGGGGGGTTGAGCCCCAAGGTGAGTGTCAGTCGCTCCAGGTTGGCAGCGCCAGACTTGTTTTCCCGCTCTCTTGGTTGTGTCTGACGCGCTTCCCCTACCACTGATCGCTGCGCTCGTAGAGCAGCCGGTAGCGTGCTCGGACGTCGACCGCCGGGACGGTGGTTCGCGCCCGGCCGGCGGCCAGTTGCGGTGATGATGAATCAGAATTCCTCGTCCTGAATTTAGGTGATGTGACTATCCCATCTGAGCAACCAATTTTATTTTTCTTACTACTACCAATTCCGGTTCTGCGACTGGAAAACCCATGACGACACCCTAGCCATGGTATTTTCGTCATCGTGACATAGAATGTTTCCAGTGACTATTAAATGCTTGCGGTGAATGTCAATGAGGACTACGGTGAATCAGGGTGCATCACCGTAACTTACACTGATATTCGCCGTAGCTTACGGTGAAAATTGACCGTAAGCTTTTAACAGTGTAGCTCTGTGTTTATTTTCCGCCCAGAAGGTGACGCACGATTCACCGTATTTTCATTCTGATATTCTGTTAAGCTGTCCCTGCAGTGGGCGTTTCACGAGGAGATGCTGGTGGCGCTCTGGGTAGGCCAACCCGCCAAGCTGCTGTGTGAAGACGGCGGCCCGCCCACAGCGCTCAAGTCTCAAGTGTCCGGGCGAGCGAGAAACGTTTTGAAGTCCAACTGGCGTCGCATATCACCCGCGAGGGATGTTCATTCAGACTGCTCACCTTGATATTGACGCTGAAGTCAAAATGGTAAGTGTAGTGTTCAACAATATAAGTTTCAAACTGTTACAATACTGCACTTTGTTCGTGGTCCGACTCGGTAATTTTGCACTTGTGCAAACTTCTCAAGGGGAGTTGTTCTCTGTTGACCCTGAACACACTTTGTATAGTGTGTTTGCAAAGATGAAGGATGTTAGTATTTTGAAGCTCTAAAACAACTTCCCTGACTGGCGGCCGGGTGGTGGCGCCGTGCAACAGCAGCAATAAAATAATTAGACTGCGGACGACACAATATCTCGAGAGAGTTGTAATAAATGAGGCAGCTTCGACGGGGTCGGTTCGTATCGTTTAAGGCTTTAATGA